TATATATATATATATATATATATATATATATATATATATATATATCTGTAGTATAGTTACAATAAAAATGTTGCAAATGACCTCGTAAAAAAGATTTGTTTTTCAAACGATAAAATCAAGTGCGAAATGTTGACTTGACCGTAAGCCGCAGACGAAAAACTTTGAGTTCAATAATCAATAGGCGCCTCTTTTATCGACGCGGTCACTGTTGATACAGAGCATCCGTTCCCAGATGATTGGCTTAATACACTAAATTACTTCTATAGCAACAGCCACCTAGCACACCCACGTAACTAGTTCAACTACTACGAACTGTAAACAACAGTTTAAAAATAAAACATATTCTCACCTGGTAGTTTTACCACCATCGGAGGACTTGTTGGCCGATTGGGATCCAATGTAACTGGCTTAAGGTAACAACAACACGAAAACACACAGGCCCACTTATTATATATTTCCTCAAATCCACGTTACGGCTATTTCTCGGTAAACTCTTTATAAGCGGTTTCGTAGAATCCGAGGGCACTGAAGAAATTAATTTGCAGAAATGGACGTCGCCGACGGTTGTCCGTCCGCGTACCGTCACAGAAACGCTTTCTAAGAGCGAACACATTCAATTTCACTAGATGATGGTGAGTTCATCACGGATAAAGATATCGCGGAGGTGAAAGTTCGGCGCGTACTGACGGAGTGGCGACGAGCCTCCTTCGTGTGCTGGTGTGGACTGAAGGCGCTTACGATATTACTCGCTCGTGATGTCAAGTAAATACGAGGGGGGCGCGAGTCGCGGGAGGAGCGCCCACCGACCGGCCGGCTACGCTACGCTGCGCCGCACGGCAGAAACGCACCGGACCAAGTACGAAGCGACTCGCGCCGTGCCCACACTTCCCAGAACTGTCAACCTTGGCACTTCCACGAAACAACTCGACGCATTGTCATTAATTTATAAAACTTGTGTTTCTCCACCCAAGACTTGTAGCATGACACCAAGAGCTCGTGACTGCAGTCACTTTTGGTGGCCAATTTGAGTAGGGAACTTAAAACTTAAGTATAAGCATCTAGTACATTTTTTAATGATTTATAATGATAATGAATTATTATTATAAATTATGTCACGTCTGCTCGCTCAATAGACTATTATAGTCTATTGAGCAGAAGTTGTATTCAATTCAGCATTGTTTAATTCTTTTTTTTTTATTTCATTAAATACACACACAATACACTTAAACGTTATATAGCTATATATAAATTAATAGCTATATACAATTACATAGCTATATATAAACATATAGTTTCATTTCCGATGTGTAACAATGGCGAAAACCTAAGAACTCGATATATATTTTATTTATTAAGTCGCCAGTGTTCTAAAGGTACAGAAATGTAATACATGCAATAACAAATTATTGATCTGTAATTATGCTAATTATTCACCGTTCTTGATTACTCGGTATCGAACAAACCTTATAACTTAATCACACTGGAATAATGTGAGGAGTATCAACCTCGTATTTCCATATATGGTTCTATTGGTAGGTAGGTTTGTTTTGTCTACCCATCTATGAAGCGGCAACGAACAGGTTTAATAAATTTTGGGAAGTTCATTCACTTGTCTACGTAGTTTGTATTCGAGTAGGCCGCCGCTTCAACTGTGTTAATCAGACATTTCAGTCTGAAATACATTTGTTGCGTACAAAAACAATTTTCGTCTCATTAATGCATCTTTTTTAATTGCCTCCTTGGATTAAAAACTCTTCTTTCTGTTTCGCTGCATTTAGAACTTAAAATAATGACAAAAAAAAGGCCTTTTCCAATGGAAAAAAACAGTACCAAAAAAAAAACAAATATTAGGTAATACAGTACGTATAGATAAAGTCAAATTTCACTAGAGTGCACGATTGTAGGGAGTAATACACATGCCTGAAGGGAGAGTCCCCACATAACCCCTGAGTCTCCCTGGGCTCAGGGGTATCCATAAAGATTCCCCCCCCACCAAAAAAAAAAAAAAAAAAAGGGAGTAATACACATAGAGTGGATAGTACCTCCCCCTAAAATCCCGAAATTATTGTATTGTATTTTGTTCAGTTTTTGACGGGTAACTAGCAATTACTATGGTAGTGTACCTAGAAAAAAATTTGTAATTGTATGTTTTGTATTTGTATGTTGTATTCCGATCAGTAGTAATAACATAAAGCATGAATCCAGATGTGCCGTCAGTTGCGTCGTTGCTATGTAACTTGTATAACAATGGGCGATTTCTCGCAGTCGGCAGGACAATCAATAAGGGAGATAATCGAGCATTCCTCGAAGTGCGCGTGTGACATGCGCCATGCTTCTCCGAAACTGTTTCTTCATGCCGTACACTCGGAGGCAGAAGCAATAAGTGATGTCAACATTTATACATCACCGTTCAGGCTAGACATCTGAAGATGATTTTAATGTAATTCCTAAACACATGTACCTATTTTTTCAAATACCTAGAATTTGACACTGGTGAATTCAAAAGCTGTACTTACTCGCTTTGCATTTCATGGTTCTTTTTTCAAATCCGACAAGATATTTTATTGTAATATTTTGAATTTTCATTTCTTCTGTTGGAATTTTTGCTCTTAAGTGTATTTTACTGAAAATAATTCATTGAAATTTTTAAAGTTCTTAAATAGTAACTGACTTTATTTGTGAATGCATTAAAATCTTTGGAAAGTTAGGCGATCAGTAACAATACTAAATACTTAAAGCACGTTGTGTGAATGCCGCTTGTACTCCCGCCATGTAATGGGCTGGTAAGAGCGATGCCACACGAGCGTTGCGTCGTCGCAACGCTATAATTTCAACGTGCTTGCGGTAGCGCACCGTTTGAACTCACCGCGTGACTCGACGACGTCTGTGGCGCCTATTTTGTGTGTGGTAGGCCCATACTTGGTAATAAACAAGTGGATGATAAAATTAAATTCACAGACATTATTTTTGCTCCAAATTTCTTTCTTTGAATATCTATATACTGCCAGTTATGAGGCCCAATTTCAAATTCTGCTGTCTTTTTTGACAACTATAAAGTTAAAGATTTATATTAAAAATTAACAATAAGTAGGTACCGAAGACGTTATGTTTTCAAGAACAGTTTATGTTATGAAACAGAAGATATTGTAGGTAAATATTAGAATTGTAGATAATTTAAATTCATGTCAGGTGGATTTACATTTTATCATTACGCCAAATGTAAATTACCTATTTAATTTTAAGAAGAATTATGCTTTTTGAATTATGCTTGCATTCAGCATGACTAATTTAAAATGGTAACGAATTCATGAGTAACACATGCGCCCACTTCATGCCCTTTCCTATTCGGGTAGGCAGAGTCCATAAGCTTTCTACTTTTAATGGGTAACGACGGTAGATTGACAACTAAGTAGTTAGTAATAACCTGCAGTGCATCTAAATAACGAACCTAAATGGGCATAATACTGAATGACTTTGAATCTTTATACCTTTGACAAGCCACAAATTATTTTTACGCATCAGTCACTTTACTCTCTCTGCGACTGTACGGCGACAGATGCCGTGCACGTGTGTGCAACTCTAATATTCGAGACTCGAGTACCATATTTCCAAAGCGGCCATCATCTAAAAAGTTGTCACTTGAGTGCGATTGAAGTAGGACCTAAATTCTCTTTTCATTCAATCTGAAGCCAAGATATCTCTACCACCCCTTTTCTCCTCCCTTTGCCTTAACCAACACCATTTCGGTCACTATAAAATGAAAGGTATTTTGGAAATGAAACTTTTCGGATGTAAATCGCCTTTGGTTTGTTTTTTCAGCAATAAAATCGTAATATGAATACCAAATATTCGGCCAGGAGCGTGGCTAAATTTTTGGCCAATGTTCGCCCTGACTAAAGCACATGCCAAAATTGATACAAAAAATACCATTTATTTATATTACAATAAATAATTTTGTACTATAAAACAAAAGTTTAATTTATAAGTTTATAATTTTATGACTTCATACAGAAAAGGTTTTTTTTCACTTCAGTATCATTAACTTTCAAATACTTAATTTTATTTTAATTTGCAAATAATAAATAGCGTTTGTTTAGTCATGAATAAACTATATAATAATTAAGTAGTGTTCATTTGATAATAATTGATGATACCTTTTTTAAACTCTTAGAAAAATAACTTAGTTTCGTTACATTTCCTTTGATGTTTTAGATAAAGAAGCGAAAAATTACGCTTTCACAAACTTACAATGTCCAGCATTAATAAAAGTTACATGGTAATTTATTGTGTTTTTTTGGTATTCGGTTTTCGGCCGAAATTGCTGAATATTCGTTGCAACTCTACCGACCAACCAAATTCGGTAAACGCTTTCGGCGAATTTCTCAAACTTATATTTGATTCCAAACAAAACAAATTATATTTAATTCCAACATAAAGTTTAAGTTAGTATTTTATCGTATTAGATAAAATGTATACCTCCATTTTTTTTTTTTTTTCTAACTCAACCAGTTGTAGTGAAATAAGTAATTACGATGTGGAATTTTGAGCTTCATTCTAACAGATTTTCGTTGGTAACGATTCTTCCTTCCTTACGATTAGTTTTACCTTGATATGAATGTAATTAGCCAAATCTAATCTATTTGTTGTGAAATCCCCTTTCTCTTCGCGTATAGTCAGCTATTTATAAAAAAAAGCAAGGGATGTCCGCTTTACATAATGTTTCGGTAATTTATATAATGTGTGTAATTTATATAAAAAGAAAAATGAGAAAATTTTATAGAAATAAAAAAATAATAGCTTTCCATTAAATTAGTCTTAAGTGAATGTTGAATTGTTGAAGAGAATAGAGTGGCGTCAATTGTTTAACGATTAGATCATGTTAATGCGTAGTTACTTAAGTTATCTATCCTCTTATTTAAAAAAATGTAATTCAATATTAAAGAATACCAAATAAATTACTCTACACTAAAGTTTTATAAAATATAATTTTTCTTTTCCTTCATTTCTTTTAAACATCACCGCTCTGTAATGCAGGAAACAAAACAGTTAATAAGTTGACGATTCATTGTAAAGTATCATTTGACATTATAATTTTCTGGCTTATCGTCAGTTCGCGGAACGTTGCGATAGAAGGTATTTATTATTTGAACTTTGTACAAGTTTAATAAAAATTATATTAGCCTATTTCCGTATAATTAGAATGACACGCACCGACCATAAAAAAGTAATAAACAGAGTAAGGACGAAATTTTTGCCTGTTCTCTGTTTTGCGCCGAGCAAAAACAAAAAACCCCTTTCCATAACCTAGTCTCTATCAGTCTCTCGTTTTTAATAAACTAGAAGTTTTATGAAAAGCCTTTTCAATAAAATTAAACTGAAATTGAACGACAGCAAAATTGTTATACCTTAGAAACGATAGGATTATGTTGATCCTTCAGAGCAATGCATTTGCATTATATTCGTCTAGAACAATCGCATAAATGTACACTGAGCGGACTTGTTTACACAGTCTTCTGGATTAATGTAACGTTTAGCAAAATTACAAGTTAATAATCACCAAACGCTTTTGTTGACATTTGATTTTTTTTAAATACATTTTAATATTTAAGCCTAATATTTTCTCTTTTTCATATTGCATATTTCATTAAATATCCGCAACCATGAAGGACTTAGCACAGATCTATATTAATATGTAATAAAATTCCAATAATATAAAAAAAATTAAAATATTAA